ATCGAGAATAACTTTACTTGAATGCCAGCGTCTTTTAATTTAGATTGCCAATGTTTGGACGTAAACTGTGTCCCATGATCAGAGACAATGGTTTGAATGGTAATGAAATTTACAAAATCCTCCAAAATTTTTTTAACAGCCAACTTAGCTACTGGGCGACGCATGGGATACAATCGTACAAATTTCGAAAATGTGTCAATAACAACAAAAATATAAGCAACTCGAGCGCGTCCCTCGGGAAGAGGTCCGAAAAAATCACATGTAACCAATTCACCAATCTGAGTGGCTACCACAGGTTGTGTAGGGCCGATAAGATAACGATTGGGATATTTATTAATTTCACATAGATAACAAGAACGTATAAATTTTCTCAAACGAGAACGGAAATGATCACCCTGCTTAAAATACCCCATAGAGGCCTATACAAAATAATCTATCGGGCGCTACCGGATTCTATATGTGCATTTGTCCATGGGTTTTTCCGGATACAGCCCGATAGAAAATGTATAGGAAATTACCTATAGGCACACCATAACTTTTACATTTTCCCTATTGAGACCGATAGAAAATAACTCAATGAAGGATATATAGGGATATCCCTATAGAGCAACCATAAAACATTTGACAAAATTTTATTAAAACCTATAGGGTCCTATAGGGAAAAAACTAATTTCTACATTTATGTGTATTTTCCCCATTGAAACCGATAGCAAATAAATCAACGGTGGATATCCCTATAGAACAACCATAAATCTCAACTACGGGTCCTATACAAACCGATACACCCTATAGAAACACCATACATCCCGATACAAATATCTATCGGTTTGAACAGGGTCTCTATGGGGTATTTTAAGCAGGGCAATATAAACCAGAGGTTTTAATAAAAAGTATAACTTGGCCACACCAAAATGCCCATATAATTCATGGTAAGCTTTAAAAAAAACATTACAAATAACTTGTGGAAGTACCAGACGTATTGGTGTGAAAGAATTATCTTGAAAACAAAGAATATTTTTATGTAGAAAACAATAGGGTAATAATCTATTTTGTCTGTGATTTAATGTAACAGGAATACCAGATAAAGTGGAATAAATGGGTCCGAATAAAAAGTCAGCACTTTGTTGTTGATTTAAATTGGCAAATTCTGAGTTTAACTGGGGAAGTTTTGATATTTCGAATAGATTGCAGAGTTTAGTTTGAAATAAAATATGAGCGACAATTGGTTCTCTATCCTTAGCTGCTATATAATCAGAGTTAGTGGGTTGCCTAGATAACACGTCTGCAACGATATTATCCTTACCACGAACATGTTCAACATGATAATCAAATTAATTTAAATACATAACCCAACGAGTTAACCGATCATTTAGTAATCTACTCTGCTTAAGAAATTTCAAAGCGTGATGATCAGTTCTTATAATTATACGATGTCCCAGCAATACTGTGCGATATTTTTTTAAACCAAAAATAATGGCCAAAAGCTCTTTTTCAGTCACTGTATATAACAACTCAGCTCCACTCAGGACTCGACTAGCATATCCTAAAACTAAATGTTCTCCGTCAGAATCTTCTTGGTACACTTCCGCCCCTAAAGCATATCCTGAACTATCCGTTTGTAAGAAAAACGATTTATCATAGTCTGGAAAACTCAACATAACGGTATTTAGAAATAACTCTTTGACACGCTGAAAGGCCTTTATTTCGACAGGACCCCATGTCCATTTTACAAGTTTCCGTAATAAACGAGTTAAGGGTAACAAAACATCACTATAATTTCTGACAAATCGTCTATAAAACCCACACAACCCCATAAAACCTCTTAGTTGTTTAATATTTTTGGGAGCTGGAAAATTTGAAATACTGGCTACCTTATCCAGATCAGTACGTATACCTTGAGATGTAAGTAAATTTCCCAAAAACTTAACTTCCGACTTAACAAAATGAGTTTTTGAAAAATTAATAGTTAATCGAGCTGATTTTAATCTTTCAAACACAGATGTAAGATGAAACAAATGATCCTCAAAACTATTGGATACCACCAAAATATCATCAATATAATTAAACACATTTTCTCTAAGTTCGGATCCTAAAACTACATCCATAGCCCTGGAAAAACTACCCACGGAAACCTTTAAACCAAAAGGAAGAACCTGATAGGTGTAACTACGGTGATTATACATAAAACCAGTATATTTTGTAGATTCAGGATGTAAGGGTATTTGCCAATATGAAGCCACCAAATCGATTGTGCTTATAAACTTTACATTAGAGAAGGAAGCAAAAATATCCTCAGGTGGTTAAGGCGCATCATAATCAGATATCATTCTTTCATTCAACCAACGAGCGTCCAAACATATTCTAACAGTACCATCTTTTTTTCTTACAACAGTCATAGGACTACAATAGGGAGTTGCCTCTTGTTTAATTACACCTAATGACAACATACGATTAATTTCTTTATCGACAGCTTCCCGAAAACTAAAAGGAACTGGGTAAGTTTTTCGAAGAAATGGTGTTTCATCAGCCATAAGAATTTTATGTTGATATAGGGACGTGAGTCCTGGCTTGTCACTAAATAACTGTCGAAATTGAATCAAAAGTTTTCTTTTTATACGAGGAAGACAAATTCAATAAAGCTACCCGATTTGAAACTTGAGACTCGAAACTTAAAATAGTGGATTCGATAACATTATTTGAACTGGTTGAAGGAAGTGAAGTAAAATCTGGTTTAACACTAAATGGAATATACAGTATGTCTCAGTATCTTGGAATCATATGGAAAACTTTTTTATTATTAATTTTAGGAAAAAAGTTATTCTTCATAAAAAGTTCTGCATGGTGTAAAACTTAAAATGCAACCCACAAATATTAATTTTTTTTAGTCGTATACGAGGTATGTCAAAAAATATGAATTTGGCGCAAGAGTAAAGTACCTTTATATTTGACAATATAAAAAATTGTTATAAAGAAAAGTTAATCAGAACTAAAAACTACGTTTATATATGCAATTTCATATATTTACATTAAAAAATTAAGTTTTGTTAATTTTTACTAATCTTTCTATTTTAAATGAACATTTATCTGTTATGATTAGAAAAAACATGAAAACCTTAAGTTAAGTCAGGGGATCTAGCAGGCCATTTGTTTATCAGTGAATCCTAGATTACATGTTACAGTTAAATTTGCATTGATATTGTAGACAAAAATGAAAAAATATTATTTTTTTAATGTAAATGGATGTAATTGCATATTTGAACGTAGTTTTTAGTTCTGATTAACTTTTCTTTATAACAATTTTCGATATTGTCAAATATAAAGGTACTTTACTCTTGAGCCTAATTCATATTTTTTGACATACCCCGTATACGACTAAAAAAAAATAATATTTGTGGGTTGTATTTTAAGTTTTACACCATGCAGAACTTTTTATGAAGAATAACTTTTTTTCCTAAAATTAATAATAAAAAAGTTTTCCATATGATTCCAAGATACTGAGACATACTGTATATAGGCTCTTTGGTTCCTAAGATAAGAGTGTCACGGCAGAAATCGATTATACCTTGGACTTCATACATCCAATCGATACCAAGAATCACCGGCCTAATTAAATTTTTAACAACCATAAAAACATGAGAGAATAAAGTGATATTGGGTATAACTTGATACTTGATTCGAGTACTAAGATGACCATCCGCTCCTCGAAGTTGTGTTGCAACTACCGGAAGAAATAAAATGTCGCCCTTTTCCTTTAATTTTTCAAATATTTCCTCACTTATACAAGACAGTTCACAACCGGAATCCACTAAAGCCGTAATAGGTAGCCCCAGACATAACAAAGAAATATGAGGTAATTGTTTGATAACTCGAAGTTCTTTTTGACCTTCCAAATCATCTAAAGGAACTAATGTATATGCTCCATCACCTACTTTAAATACCTCCAAGGAGGTGGGCAAACCCCGACCATTTTTCCCACAAAGTTCCCCAGGTTTCCAACCCAAACGTATCATTAACTGGTATCCCCTAGGAGACATTTCCTGTAAATATGCTACTGGAGTAGGTACAGTACAGTATTGAAGCTGAGAAGAATTATAAAAAGAAATGGTGGAAATGGTTGTATTTGACGGGAAAATGTTCCACCTTATTTTCCCCGAGAAAAGTTTCCCGAACTTGGAGGTGGAATTTTGGGATCAAAGTTATTGGTGGGCAATGCAGAAAATGAGGGTTTGCTTATACAACTGTAACGTTCTAAAAATTTAAGTGTACCCTGGAAACTGCGTTCAGTGGAAGCGACCCACAGTGATTGAACAGAATAAGAAAATTGTTGTAATATTTCATATACTATTTCAACTTCACTCAAATTTGGACTTTTTAAGCTACTAAATTGTCGTACGAAAAATTCAGTCATACTTAAATATCTATGGGGATGGTATCTCGCTTTCAAAATTTCTCTCCGCATATATGCCCGTTTTTCGGTTGACCAAAAAAAAGATAAAAGTTCAATTTTAAATTGATTAAAATCCATTTCAAGCGATAAAGTATTAGCCCATTCGGCTGCGGAGAATAATAAACAATTTTTAGCAAACATCACTAAATTGGCTGAAGGAATTTGATAAACTTCACAATATTCCTGGAATTTAGCAAGAAACGTTACAGGATTTTCATTTATTTTACCTGAAAAAGTGGACTTCCGACAGATATCATCGATTCTACCAACATTTCGATTTGCTAGAGACATAATTACTTGATGACATTCTTTATCGGACAATGTTACACTACTAGTTACAGAGGGCAAAACAGTAAAAGGGGCAGAACGCATTCGAGGTCGATCACAATCTTCCACTGAAGGTGAATCAAATAAATGATTAGAAAACTCACCCTCTGTCGGTGACTGTCGCTGACCACGTGAATGTCCTGTGCTTGTATGCGTGTCCCTAGTTTCTATGTGGCTGCACAGCTTTTGAAGAAGGTGAGTTTGCCTATTCATAGTCTCCTCCATTTTAATCATTTTCAAATTTATTTACATTCGGCAAAACAGCTGAAGATTTTTTTGAAAAATTCTGGTAAGCAGAACTGACAGGTACAGCAGGATTAGTCAATACAGCACGACTCTCAGGAACGTTCTTCGAAATGTTGTGGTAAGCAGACTGGGTAGGTTCAGCCGATATCATCCTGGACGATGAAAGTACAGCCGGGAATTTCACCCCTGGTGTGCGTTCAACAGGAGTACGTACTCCAGAACACTGTTCTGCAGAAGAAAGACCTGCAGGCGAAAGCTCAACAGATTGATGGCCCTCATTAGAAATTTCAGAAAAATGAAAGTTTTGAATGTATTCAGTAGTCATACGGTCAGTAGGAGTTCGACTGGCAGGAGTGCATTCTTCCGGAATATTTTCAGCAGGTGAGAAACTGGTGGACGTTTCACTATTAGGAGTGAGGTGAACAGGAGGTAAACCATCGGGTAGATGTCCAGCAGTTGTTGAATTTTTGATCAAGTAACTAACTGACAGATGTTCCACAGGTGAGTGACTGGTAGATTGTTCTGTTTGCTCCATCTCTGTATCCTTTTATGTTTATATTCAAATATACTTTTATGTTTATATTCAAATATACTCAAAAAAAAAACCAAATTAGAATAAATACTTTCAAAACAATCTCAACTTCTCCTCTTAGACATCCTTAACCTATCCTCCTATGCATCGGCCACAATCTGTGCCGCAACCAAGGACAACCCGAACAAGCCCAGCATAACTCCGACAACGACACCGTGCACTGTGTCGAAAATAAAGAAACCAAGCAAGTTCAATCATATCCTGGTCACGGCACCAATCTGTGATGGGCACGAGGGTGTAGTACCCTACACTCGAGTAAAAAGTAGTAACCCATAGAGATTTTAAGAATCTCAAGAATTGAAACTTAACCTCAATAGGTTTGCAATGTTGTCAAGTATGGCCAAAATAGTGTGATCGTCTAGTCGTCGAAAAGAAAATACCTACGTTGGGTTATTCAAATTCGGTTCTAGATAGGAGGAATGCCAGTGAGAGGAAGTTTAGTAATATTTAGTAATAACACACAAAGAATGGTTGTCAGCTTTATATTCGTTGTATTTGAATTATATATTTTTTACAATAAGGGTTATGTTCGTTTTAAGATTATTAGTTCAGTTAGTTTTTAATTAAAAAGGGTTTTAGGTTTAATATATGTAAATTTAAATTTTATAATTATAGGTTAGAGGTTATATTTCACAAGTTTATATAAATGTAGATTCTTAAGTTTTATTAAGAAGTATAATATCAGTAATATATAATAATGGTTATCCGTAACAATATAAGTAACAGCCATTTAGTATAATAAGACGAAACACAGATACAATTCACTTTTATCCAGCAAAGCAAAGCCTTCATTCATAGGATTCATACTTTATAGCTATACAATAACGAAAAACAGTAATCACGGTATTAATAAGCAAATACACGGCGGTCCTCAAGGGTGAATAGGTTGACCAAAAATGTAGCCAAAAACTATTTACTACATCTAATTGTACTCCACTTGGGCTCTCTAAAACCATTTTTAGGTAAATCGCAGCTGATCGAAAACTTGATTTTTTTTAGTTTTTAGAGAAAATCATGGAATTTTATTAGTTTTTTTTTTGTTACATTTTTTGTTATATCAAAAATATTTGTAATTTTGGTTACACTCGAATAAAAATCTCATCCTTTGATCTTTTCAATAACATTAGGTAACTATTTTTACAAAACATGAAACATTAATAACATTAGGTAACTACTTTTACAAAACATGAAACATTAATAACTAAACCTACAAATGACAAGAAGAAAAATCTACTACTGCTTTTCTCAAACTCAAACCATAGCTTGCATTGTCCAAACAATTAATTTTATATTTTTCCCAGGTAAGTTCTAAATAAACCAACATTTGAAGTGCCATTTCTTGATTCATTAATATCAGAAAAAATAAGGGGACAACAGACAACAGAATTGTGCTTCCTGCAATTGTGGGAAATTCCTTTACCAACTTTTTGCAACATTCACTACATGTTCTAAAATTTGCTTTTTTGTTCTTCCATTTAGGATTTTTGCGTGTTAGTTTGTGACCTTTAAAACTAGCAATGGTACATAGTCGACAGCTACATGGTGACATGTGAGTCTCGTTCTTGGATGTAGCTCAATTTTGTCAAAACTCGGTTCTTTTTTGGGAAGAGGTATTTTTAAGATATTCTGTCTCCTATCGTATCAAGACAAACGACAATTGCCACATACTGCATTGGGATATCTACTGTCATTTTTGTCAAATTTAAAGCAGTGTAGATTTATCAAATTGTACAGGCTATCATTTAATCTAAATTTTGATGGATTGCATTTTCCAAAAACTATCTTCCTGCCGCAGGCAACACAAACTTTCGATCGGTTTTCTTCATGATTATCTTAAAGTGGCGGCTGGTGGATTTTGGGCACACCCATATCACAATTTTTAGACATGGGACCCACATCAAATTTATATGAGTACATTATATTCAATTTAAATTGAAGTTTGGGAAAAAAAGTTAGTTTTCCTGCCCGCAAAATTAAGATAATTTAAATTAAAATGGTGCAATTTATAATTTACTACAGTTTATCAACAAATTTCAAAATTTATTTAAAAAGTATTACAGATTTTATATCATTTCTCTTTTTTTTAAATTTAAATTATAATTAATAAAAACTTTAAAATGTTATAAAATCTGTAATACTCGGACTTTTTAAATAAAGTTTGAAATTTATTGATTATATTGTGAATTGTGAATTTTAAATTGCATATGGGTACCATGTGTAATAACTGAGATATTGGTGTACCCAAAATCCACCAGCTGTCACAGAGACTTTTTGCAGTATTACTTTGAACTTAAAACACTACTTTAAATAACACACCAAGCACAAACATCTAAATAAAACTTATTTTCTCTGTTCAATAACAATTGAAGTGTTTTCATAACAACATATTTTGTTTTATTAGATTTCATGGCACCCTTTACCTACATTTTTATTAAATTTTTTGCAGTACGGTAAAAAATTTGATACTTAACCATGATTTCAATTAATAAATACTACTAAATGTTATTCAGAAGATTTAATAATTTGATTTTCAATAAGATAATGATTAAAATTACACAAACTTTTGATATAAAAAAATGTAACAAAAACAAAACTACTAAAATTCCATGATTTTCTTTTAAAACTAAAAAAAAATCAACTTTTCGATCAGCTGCGATTTACCCAAAAATGGTTTTAGAGAGCCTAAGTGGAGTACAATTAGATGTAGTAAATATTTTTTGGCTACATTTTTGGTCAACCTATTCACCCTTGACGACCGCCGTGAATAGTAAATAACAATATTAGCTTTGTTCGCGGAGCTCATCCGTGATCAATCCGCGACAACTACGCATGCGCACTGGCAATTTTAGCGTTCGCGGTGTAAAAATCGGCAACATTTGACATTTGATCACTCGTTCGCGGAGCCTTCGGGACCAGTTTCGAACTAATTACTGACAAGTCAAAACGATCCGAGGATTTTAGCATGTACTAGTTGTCAGACATGCGTATTGTTTATTATTGTTTAACCTTGTAGTAGTGGCGCCTTATATTTAACATTGGTGGTGGCGCCCGGCCTGTCAGGCCCGTAAATTTAAAAAAATCATATTTATGCTAGTATTTTTTCTTTGTGAATTTTTTACTTTTAATTTATTACTTAATCTTATTGTGACCAAGGTCACTGATTTTTTTTAACAAAAAAACCTCATATGTTTGAAATATGGGGTTAATTTTATGGGGACAGGATTATAAGATGACATAATATTATTTTACAAAAAACTAAATAAAAAATTTATTCTACAAAAAAACAACAAATGGTTTATAAGCTTGAATAACAAAATATCGTATTAAACGTGGTTTTGATTTTTTTCCACACAATTATGACACATAATTTTGGCATGGGTCATACATAGAAATTTTTGGCTATGAAGTGTGTGGTCCTTCTGTCTATGCGACATTCTGCATACCTTTTTCTGGTCCCAGGGGGAATTAGTTGAGGTTTAACATTATCGGTAGAAGTCCCAGCTACTTCTTGTCGCCTTTGACGTACCTCAGTTGGTAAATTTTGTTCCATAGAACGGCGTTTCAAATGCTTCTACTAGGACATAGCGCCGTTCTTCAAGAGCTTTCGCATTAGAAATTTGAATTATTAGCAGTGTGTATTACTTGGGCATTTATTCCAGCCACATTCATTAGCCCATAAAATATGACCATATTTGATAGAATAAAGTATAAAAATATGCTAAATAATTAATATACCACAAAATAGTCGTATAACATAAATGGTGGCGCCCGGCCTTTCAGGCCGTTTTAGGTTATAACTTTTTAAGTTGGTACTGTAAGTAAATAAACATTTCACTACACCTTTCTACGCAAAAAGTTAGGAAGGTACTGAAAAATTCAGAGTTGTCTCGTAATTATTTTCATAATGATCCGCTAAATAAGATCGCTTGGGCCTGTTAGGCCGTGCGCCACCAGTAGAAGGTTAAAGTTTATTTTAGGTTATATGTTCTATATTGTTTTTAATTAAATTGTTAAACGAAAACGTAAGTTGAAATACTTATTTTTTACTTGCATTGTTCATTTCTTTGCTTATTTTATAGATGAGTGATCATCTATCATCCAGTGATGAAGATTTAGAAAATAGTTTAGATTTAATTGAAGTTCCTAAAAATACTGCATATTTTTAAGAAATTGTTCCCATGTTCGATGATCAACTATTTAGGGAGCATTTTCGAGTTAGCAAAGAGATTGTTGATGATTTAGCAGAGCGATTTAGCAAATCTGAATACTATAATTATCAGGAAGGAGATTCCCCAAAAAGTTTTGTCACAAAACAGCTGACTGATGGTTGCGGTTAGAAACGCGTTCGCGGAGATTTGTTAATTCTTGATCGGTTCCGAATCGCGCATGCGTACCAAGGTTCGTGATTATTTACCCTATACAGATACGGAACTAGTCATGGATGGGCTCCGCGAACAAAGCTATTATGTACCACTGAGTTGATCATAAGCCATCGTTGTATCACATTCAGGAATATGTCGACTAGTATCTACTCTAATATTATGTATTTAAATAGTTTAATAATAGTAATAATAAGCAAATAGAAAAAACAATATAGTTATATCACTTAATTGATTATAAGCCATCGTTGTATCACATTCAGGAATATATCAACTAGTATCTATAAAAATATTATAATTTAAATAGTTTATCTTTAATAATGGTAACAATAACAAATTTTTATAATTGTATCAATTTATCAGATAAGATCAAAATAAATAAAAGGCTTATTTACCTATACAAGTCCTAGGATCTTACATACAATAGTTTCAACCTATAAATACAAAATAGCTGATATTAGTCAATTAAAAAAAATGATTGAATAACCGAGCTTAAACCTCAATGATAATCAGTGTTGCCGATTTGCAAGTAATTACTTACATTTGTAAGTATTTTGACTACTT